AGCACCATCCAAAAAAGAAAGACGGCAGGCAGCATTGTGACCATCCTATCTATCCATGGTTGTGGGAAGTAGATATTTTTACAATTTTCTTAACCTTGAGGCCCCAAAGTAAATTTATAATGTCTTAATTACTTATTTTTATGGGTTACATACAGCTTGCACCCCTGTACTATCACCATTGTCGCATTTACCCCCATGTACTATGAAATGCGACAAAACACCCCCTGTTGTCCATCTCCGTTACAAAAGCCGTCCCTTCCAAATGTTGACTGACTGTTGAAGTAGCCGTTGGAAAAATTCTAACCAAAACACCCTTCTAATTGTCTATAAAAGGGGTGCATCATTCTTCAATCATTTGTACTTAATTCCTTCCCAATTTCTTCTTAATTTTCATTTTCAGCTCTTTTTTTAATCCAAAATTTCTGAAAAAAAATTGTATTGATAATTCTGTGAAAGTAGGGTTGTAACCCAATCCTTGAAGATCTAAACCCAAATTTTGCGTGGGATAAAACCCCCAAAAAATCACAACCCTAAATTAAGCGAAAATTTCAGAACTTACTTTTGTTTACACCAAGTTCTCTTCAAATTGCTTCAAAGACGTCCATGATGTGTTGAATCGCATGAGAGAAGATGAATAACAGGGGAAGAGGGAAAAGTTTCTCCCTTCTGTTTTGCTGAAAGTGTTTAATATTTTTGTCCCAAATTACAAAGTCTAAAAATGGCTACTTCTATCAAATAAAAGAAAGGGAACAAATATAATTATACAGCAGAAACTAACACCATTAGATATGTGAGAGTTGACTGTTAAAGTGAGGGGGTGTTTTGTTGCATTTCATAGTACAGGGGGTAAATGCGACAGTAGTGATAGTACATGGGTGCAAACTGTATTTAGCCCTATTTTTATTCCTTAAATTTGAATCAATATTCATTAGTTTATTCAAGTTTCTTTTTATAAAATAGTTATGAAGTCTATTTTTTATAAATATTATATGTCACGGAAGGAAGTGAACCAACAAATCATTTGGTTAATGTTGAAATTTTTCCATATTTTTAGTTATTTTATATTCATACATTTCATAAAAAAATCGGGGGCGCTGCCCACGAACCCATGTAATTTTTTAGTCCATCAGTTTTATGAAATGTTATTTATATTCTTTTAGTATATTAAATTTTGAACCCCCTTATAAACAAATTATTTTTTTCAAATAAAGGTCCCATATTGGAAATCATATACTCTAGTATAATAACTTTCAAACCATACGAAAGACGTAAACCTCATTAGGCTAACTTTGTGTGACAAACTAACTTAGCAATCATTGACAATGGAATTCGAACTTGGGTCAATTGACAAAATCTCGTCACTTGCTCAACCATTAGGTCGTACCTTATAGTTAAGTTGTGCACTTAATTATTAGAAATGTTTTAGTGATACAACTTTTGAATAATTTAAAATATTTTCAAAATCACCCACCATATATAGACATTTTATGATGAGTTTACAAATCTAGTCAAACACTATCTAAATAGTTGTGAAACATATTAATTATGAACATAATTGGGCCACTAATCAACATGCAATAAACAAAGGAATATATTAATTAGCAAAAGTGATTGATGATTAAAAGTTAGATAACAAAACAAATCCATTTAGTACAAGAAACAATCTAGGAAATATGGGGTCATTAGCAATAAACCCTTCATATAGTTAATAAATGGTGATATGTCCACCCCTTAAATCTTTCTTTGTGATAAACCCCTAGAAATTGTATTCCCAATTCTACCCTTATATCAATTAGCATAATTTCACCCAATTATTCCTTTTTTTTCTCTCTTTCCATAATAATAATTTAATTCCTAAAAATATATTTCCAAATTCCTAAAAATTGCTACCAAATTAAAAAAAATGATTTTTTTTTATTTATTATTTTCGAATTTTATTTAGTCATTTTTTTTTAATTTTTTTTAATAAAAATATTTTTTTTATTTTTTTAAACAAAAAACTGAATTTTTTTTGGACAGTTTACAATGCCGAATATGACTATAGTTGAATATGACTATATGTGACTATGTCAATTGTAGTCGTATTATTTCTTTATATTGCACTTTTTTTACATTTTTAGCTTCAAAAATCCGATTATATAGTGTTGTACAGTCATGTTTACCAAATTATATAAAACAACTAAGATTCTCTATTGTTTAGGGAAACAATACAATCAACATCCACACAAAAAATCGCAAAAGAATCACAATTTGAATCTTGTTATTTCAAGTCAACTTGAAACGAGAAGATAGAACATATTCGAATATGACTACAATCATATTCAACAATAG